CTGGGGGTAAGGGGAGGGGGAGGGAGGGGGGAGAATAGGGGAACCCATGGCTGATATGTAGAACTGAATGGTATTGTAAAATATATATATATATATATATATATATATATATATATATATAAATAAATAAAAGAGGTAGTTTAGGGACTTGTACCTCCAGCCACCTAACCAAGTTTCACGAGATAAAATATTTAACACAATCTATTTACCTATTTTAATAAAGTTTCCCCCCCTTTCCTTTCTTATAGGAGGAAGGTCTAAAAAAAAAAAAACATGTATAAAGTTCAGCTAGATGGAGTGGTGAGGGGAGAGGATGTGTGTGTGGGTTGGGTAGGACTCAACCTAAAGGTGTGTAGGTAGGGCTGTAGACCCTTTAACTTTCCTGGCTAGTCTGGAAAACCTAGGGAATGCCTCTCCAAATTCCTACTTTAAAGCTGACACTGTCCTTAGGAAAGCCACCCTGGTTCTGTGCAATCTTCTGCACAGAGACCCAGAATAGTGGGGGAAGAGAAGGAGGCCTCTGCCAGTGTTTGTCTCTCTGCGACCACATACTAGGTACAGCTGGGCAGTGGTGGCGCACACCTTTAATCCCAGCACTTGGGATCAGAGCCAGGCAGATCTCTGTGAGTTCGAGGCCAGCCTGGTCTACAGAGTGAGAGCCAGGACAGGCACCAAAACTATACAAAGAAACCCTGTCTCTACTTTCTTTATTAGACATTTAATTGGCTTGCTCTTCCAGGAGATAGTAGGACAATTTGTACTCTCCTAGGGTCCCTTCCTCTGTGTTTCAGGACTTAGTATGCTTATGGTCTTGGGAGGAAAGTGCCTATGCTGAGAAGCCTTGGGTGCCTGGGAGACTCTGAGAAAGTCTAGAGAAAAGCCAGCATTGCTGAGCGGAAGGACTGGCCCAGAACCCAGGGGCTCGGAGGGCATTCCTGGCCTCAGATGGACGGTTCCGCTAGGATAGCATCAGTTAGGATGGGGAGATAGCTAGCGGTGGGAGAGAGAGCCAGCTCAGGAGAGTTATCTGACCATCTCGTCCCTATGCAGAAGAGGTGCATGCCGAAGAAGAAGGACGAATTGAGATTCAGACATCTCTCACAGTTGGATTCATACTTAGCTTTGCTGTATGATGCAGCTGTGGCATCTGGATGGTGGTGGACATCCATAGGCTGTCCTCCAAAGTATAACCTGCGGTATGAAAATCTTACTCCTAGGGTCCACGAGTCTCAGCCCAAACAGCACATGCTAAGATACCTAACGATATTCATATGTCTTTCGGTGTTATAAAGAAGTAGCCGAGAGGAACAGAATCTCGTGGATGTATCCGACTGAGTTGGTGGCAGTAATAAATGAGCAAGGGGCACTCATGTCCACTTTTCCTCATAAATCAGCCAGTCGTCCATCACCTAGGCGGTTCTCCCTGTTATCTCCCTGGATGTTCTGTGACCTCCTGTGTATTTGCAGAGTTGGAAATTTAGTTAGGTTTTATGTCTATTTTGACTCTCAAACCAGTTGATGCACATGTTACAAAATTGATCATTGTTTTAAAATCAGTGCTAAGAACCCTACAAAAAGCATTGTATTTTATCTGCAGGGATCTGAAAGAAGATGAATTTGGCAGAGATCTGTGACAACGCAAAGAAAGGGCGAGAGTATGCGCTTCTGGGAAATTATGACTCGTCGATGGTGTATTACCAGGGAGTAATACAACAGATCCAGAGACATTGCCAGTCGGTGAGAGACCCGGCTGTCAAAGGGAGGTGGCATCAGGTAGGACAGCTCACAAGTGTCCCGTGGGCCGTGGCGGCTGGGTTCTGTCAACTCGAGGAAGCAGAGGCAGGAAGTTAGCCGGAGAATTCACACGTTCTTCTGATTGGTCGGAATACTGAAATGCATTTGACATTTAACTCTACGTGCGGGTCTGGTAGACCACCTTCTCAGTGGTCTGTGTATTTCTGACCATACGTTTTCATCTTTGAGGATGCTTAATTGTAGTTGAAGGCTTTCTTAGTTTTGAAATTTTTAAACTTAGCTATCTCTTGTTGCTGTCTCCTCTCTGATTTTTGTTTGTGGTTTTGACCTATTTCATAAAAGTTTTCCTTGAAAGTCTCCTTACAAATACAAATGGGCTGGTAATCTAATCAAGACATTAACATTGTTTCTGTCTTCTTGACTCTACAACTTGATTATATAATAGGACAGTTAACGCAAACTTGAATTACAATTTCCCCAATTACTGTTGTAACTTAAAATCCTTTTAAAATTAAAAGTACAAAGTCGGACAGCACTTTGAAGCTTCGTTTCCTCTGGTGTCTTTCCAGGCCCCCTCCTCTCTCCACAAGTCAGAGATGAGGGCGTCACTAAGTGTTGAGGAGGAGTTGGCTTAGTTTCCAGCACAGGATTTACCAAACTGCATTGAGTAAGAGCAGCGCACTTGCTGGAGCCTGGGCCGAGATTCTTGGGTCTCCATTTTTTTTGCCTCTCACAGGCTGGGTGCTTGCTTGTGTTTCATGTGGTGCGTGTTTCTCTTGAGATACTGGTGTGCGTGTTTCACACTGGGCCTGGCACGTGATGCCCTGGTGTATTGTGTTATATGACCACACACGCTAGCAGGGCCCCCTCACTGGGGTCGTCTTTGGTTCCACAGCCTCCTCCTGCTCTTTTCAATGTACTGGTCTGGGGAGAATTCTTCTGCTCTGCTTTGGGGTTCAGTGTGCTTTCTGGTTAAAGAATTTCTAGAATTGTTAAAAATGAGTTTATAAATACAACTTCCCCCGTCATTGTTTGCTTTTGAGAATTAGCATGGGTGCCAGATGTGAAGACAGTACTTTCCACAGTGTAGGTACTCAGTTATGTGTTTTAAATGTAGGGAAATCTTGACTTAGTCCAAACTAAACCTTATCCAGGACTCAAAAGAGTTGAAGACCAAAAGAGGCCGAGGTAAAGGGGATCATAAGTAGGCTGGGTGGTGTGTGATCCTTTGCTGTATCGGGCAGGGGACAGATTCTCAGGGCAAGCACTTCATGCTTAGTGACAGTGGGGTGGGAACCATGGAGGTGACAATTTTGACCAATTTTATTTTAATCTCTAAGAATAGTGAAAGATTTAACATAGTATTTTTGATGTCTAGGGTGAATAACTTGTTACCAATGTAAATGCTTATTTTAAGCTATATTAATAATCAGCATCTTTTTTGTTTTTCAAGACAGGGTTTCTCTGTATAGTTTTGGTGCCTGTCTTGGATCTTGCTCTATAGACCAGGCTGGCCTCGAACTCACAGAGATCCGCCTGCCTCTGCCTCCCGAGTGCTGGGATTAAAGGCGTGCGCCGCGCCGCCACCACCGCCTGGCATAGCACATTCTTTATTAGACACACAGCTTTTCCTTTTGTGAAGATGCATGCAATGCAGCCTTCTCCCCCATTGCCCGCTGCTCTGCTCCATCACTCAGAAGAGCTGTTTATCACATGCTTCTGTGACTCATTTTGTACACGTTGACTGACACTAAGAAAGCTTACACTCCGTATAATTCATTTATTTGCACTTCTAACGCAACGGCTCCTCTCTTAAGGTACGGCAGGAACTCTTGGAGGAATACGAACAAGTTAAGAGTATCGTCAACACGTTAGAAAGCTTTAAAGTCGACAAGCCCCCAGACTTCCCTGTGTCTTGTCAAGATGAACCATTTAGAGATCCAGCCGTCTGGCCACCCCCTGTCCCTGCAGAGCACAGGTAAGTGAGACGCGGTTGATAGGAACATCTAGATAACCGCACTCAGAGTGAAGCTTTGTTTGAACAGTTTCGCAGAAGCATTTTGGGGGCTCATAAGCTTAATATACTTACCATGCTTGTTCTTTGTGGGGTCCAGAGCTTATGTTTGGTCGAGGAAGAGGCAAATCCGTGTCCTGCCCTTGCTTTCTGTGGCCTTACGGTGGTCACCTGCCTGGCAGCTTAGCACTTAAGAGAAGTTTTTTAGACTAGCACCACACGTTGGTGTTTGTTGGAGAAGACTGACCCCTTCCAGTGAGCAGTGGGGAGACTGGAGTCACCTGGCGGGGCTGCCAGGGCCTCGGTGTAGAAGGACACCTGTAATAGTGGCTGGCCTGTCATTGCTTAAAGGTCGGGTCCTGGGGTGGCGGGTAAGGCTTACCCCACCAGTCCTCCGACCCTGTCCACCCCACTGCTCTCTTCTCCTCTCTCCTGGCTTCTGTCTGTGCACAGGCGTTCTTTCTCCAAGGACTTCCATAATTCACACCTCTGAGCTGCTCCTCTTCCTCAGGTCCCTGTCAGCTGACTGAAGCATTTTTCTGGTCGCCTGGGTTTGCAGGTGGCATGTTGGATTCGCTTGTCTTTTCAGGATTAGAGGGCAAGCGATGTCAGGCCAGGGCCAAGACTTTGTTTACTTAGAAACCACGCAGCAAATGTCCTTTGCTGACACAGAGGCTTGCCCGTGGAAGGAGTTCAACACTGAACAACTCCATTAAATTTACGAGTTAGGGACCGAGGCCTGGGAGAGCTGGCCGGAGTCCGTTAGAGCAGGACCTGAGATCAGGGCTTTGGCCTGCCCTTCTGTCTCGTGAAGTGGGGCTGGGGGCAGAGTGCTGTCCCACAGAGAAACCATGTTGTTCCTTTGGCCAGTAGCTGGGGCCATCTGTTCAACTAACTGCTCTCTTGAAGTTTTCCAAAAGCATTTAAAGGACTGTGAAGAATGGTTCATTTTTGTTGTTGTTTTGTTTTAAAACGGCCTTGCTATGTAGACCAGGCTGTCATGGAGCTTGCCATATAGCCCAGGCTGGTCCCTCTCTGTGATTCTCCTGAATTAGCTTCCAAAGTGCCAGGATGACATTCTGTACCATCTCACCCACCTAAATTCTTTTAGAATTTCTTCTACTGAGTTACAGGTGGTTTGTGATTTCCCTAGTAAAGGCAGGCACTAGATGAAAATTCTTTTTTTTTTTTTTTAAAGGAAAATGATGTGCTTTGGACTTAGGTACCCCTCACCCCTCAGAGGGTACCATTTCAGGAGTCATGATTGTTCTCTGGGAAGCTCCAGAGTAAATACTGAAGAAAAAAAAAAAAAGAAAAAAAAAAAAAGAAAGGGAGAAAGAAAGAAAGAGACTGTGGTCTGTCAGAACACCACATTGTCTCTGTACGTGTAATTAATGGAATGCCTCATTTTTTCCTAGAAGTCATTAATTCCCAAATATACTTCTGGCTTAAAGCTAAGAGCTAACAATAAATCTCCCTTTTAGAGTGCATGCTCTGAGTGGTTAGGTCACCATCATTAATTTCAGGAGGTAGTGCTACAGACAGTAACTAGCATTTGTGACTCAAATGATAAGAATCGTGGCTAACATCTCCCATTGATGATTGCCCGTCTAGAAACTGCCCTCATTACAGGGCCCAACTCAGCCCCTCCTGTTGTTTGCCCTTCTGACATGCCCGTAACATAGACTGCTTTTGTTTTGATACTTATCTCCAATCCTTCTTTATTAATGAAAGGGAAAGATAAATGCATGGACAGACTTTCTTCTCCACACTAAATTGAAGAAAACAGTTTTTCCTATGTGAGTGCTGGGGAGATGGCTAGTGTGTACTGCTCTCGCAGAGGACCCAGCTTGGGTGCCCAGCATCCACACTGGGTGGCTCACAGCCACCTGCAAATCGCAACCCCAGGGGATCTTCTGGCCTTCATGGCGCGCGCGCGCGCACGCACACACACACACACACACACACACACACACACACACACACACACACGTGCGCATATACACACACATGTGCACACACACACGTACACACACACACACACACACACACACACACACACACACACACACACA